ATCCTGGACTTTTGTATCTCATCTACAACATTATTTACTTTTCTTTTTCCCAATAGTTTTAGATCCTTCATATTTTCTAGCTCATCGCCAATATTTTTTATCACATCCCCAATATTTTGTAGCACCTACCAAATATTTTCTAGCTCATTCCCAGTATTTACTATCACATCTGTAATATTTTTTAAGCTCATCCCCAGTATTTTCTAGCTCATCCGTAATATTTTCTAGCTCCTCCCCAGTATTTCCAAGCTCATCTCCAGTATTGTTTACTTCAACCGTAATAATTTCTAGCTCATCCATACTATTTTCTAGCCTGTCACCTGTATTTTTGGGCTGATCCCCAATATTTCCCGGACTTTTGTATCTCTTGCACAACACTTTTTAAATATTTTCACAATTTTTTTAGATCCTTAATATTTTCCTACTCATCGCCAATATTTTTTATCACATCCAAAATAATTTTGTTACACCTCCCAAATATTTTCTATCTCATTCCTGGTATTTTCTATCACATCTGTAATATCTTTAAACTCATCATCAGTATTTTCTAGCTCATCCCAAATTTTTAAAGTTCATCTCCAGTTTTTTCTAGCTCATTTCCAGTATTTTCTACTTCATCCCTAATGATTTCTAGCTGATCCCCAGTATTTTTAGCGCATCCCCAATATTTCCAGGACTTTTGTACCTCTTCCACAACATTATTTTTCTTCTTTTTCCCAATATGTTTAGATCCTTAATATTTTCTAGCTCATCCCCAATATTTTTTTTAGCACATCTGTAATATTATTTAAACGCATCCCTAGTATTTTCTAGCTCATCTCCAGTATCTTTTACTTAAACCGTAATAATTTCTAGCTCATCCGCAATATTTTCTAGCCCTTCTCCAGTATTTTTGGGCTGATCCCCACAATATTTCTAGGACTTTCGTATCTCTTGCACAACATTTTTTAAATGTTATTCCCAATATTTTTAGATCCTTAATAGTTTCTAGCTCATCGCCAATATGTTTTATCACATCCAAAATATTTTCGTACCACCTCCCAAATATTTTCTAGCTCATTCCCAGTATTTTCTAGCACCTCCCAAAAATTTTCTAGCTCATTCATTTCTTAGCTCATCTGTATATTTTTTTCTAGCTCATCCCCATTATTATCTAGCTTTTCTGTAATATTTACAGGCTCAATCCCAGTATTTTCTAGCTCAGCTGTAATATTTTCAAGCTGATACCCAGTATATTTTAGCATTTTCTACTTCATCCTTAATAATTGCTAGCTCATCCGTAATATTTTCTAGCTCATCCCCGATATTTGTTTAGCTTATATCAAGTATTTTATACTTTATCCAAAATAATTTCTAGCTCATCCGTAACATTTTCTAGCTCATCTCCAGTATTTTTCGGCTCATCTTCAATAACTTTTAGCTCATGCCCAATGTTTCCAGGACTTCTGTATCCCATTCAAAACATTATTTTATTTTACCCTAAATATTTTTTAGATCTCTTATATTTTCTAGCTCATCTCAAATACTTTTTACCACATCCCCAATATTTTGTAGCCCCTCCCAAATATGTTTTAGCTCATCCCCAGTATTTCCTAGCTCATCTGTGATGTTTTCTAGCTCATCCCCAGTATTTCTTAGCTCACCTGTAATATTTTCTAGTTCATCCCCAGTATTTTCTAGCTTATGCGTAATATTTTCTAGCTCAACCCCCACTATTTTTAGCTCATCTCAAATATTTCCAGGACTTTTGCATCTCATCCACAAAATTATTTTATCGTATTCCCAATATTTTTAGATTCCTTATATTTCCTTGCTCATCCCAAATACTTTTTATCACATTCCCAATATTTTGTAGCCCCTCCCAAATATTTTCTAGCCCATTCCCAGTATTTTCTAACTCATCCCCAGTATTTTTTAACTCATCCGAAATATTTTCTAGCTCGTTCCCAAAAATTTCTAGCTTATCGGTAATATATCCTTGCTCATTCCCAGTATTTTCTAGCTCATCCGTAATATTTTTTCTAGCTAATCCCCAGTATTTTCTAGCTTGTCTGTAATATTTTCTAGCACCTCCCAGTATTTTCTAGCATTTTCTACTTCATCCCCAATCATTTGTAGCTGATCAATAATATTTTAAAGCTCATCCCCAGTACTTTTATCTCCTTCCAAATAATTCCTGGACTTCTGTATCTCATCCACAATTAACAAAAAAAAATCTTATTCCCAATATTCATTAATAATATAAATATTCTATCTGATCCCCAATATTTTTATCACATACCCAACATTTTGTAGCACCTCCCAAATATTTTTAGCTCATTCCCAGTACTTTTTAGTTCATCAATAATATTGTCTAACTTATCCCCAGTATTTTCTAGCTCATATCTCGTATTTTCTATTTCTTCTGTAATATTTTCTAGCTCATATCTCGTATTTTCTATTTCTTCTGTAATATCTTCTAGCTCATTCCCCGAAATTTCTAGCTCGTCGCTGTAATATTTTCTAACTCATCTCCAGTATTTTTTAGCTCATGCACAATATTTTCTAGCTCATCTTTCGTATTTTCTACTTCATCTGTAATATTTTCTAGCTCATCCCCATTATTTTTTAGCTCATCTGTAATATTTTCTAGCTCAATCCCAGTATTTTTTAGCTACCAGTATTTTTCGGCTCATCATCAATAATTTTTAGCTCATGCCCAATGTTTTCAGGACTTAAAGTATCTCATCCAAAACAGTATTTTATTTTATTCCCAATATTTTTAGATCACTTATATTTTCTAGCTCATCCCAAATACTTTTTACCACATCCCCAATATTGCAGCCCTTCTCAAATATTTTCTAGCTCATCCCCAGTATTTTCTAGCTCATCTGTAATATTTTCTTGCTCATCCCCAGTATTTTCTAGCATTTTCTACTTCATCCCCAATAATTTGTAGCTCATCCATTATATTTACTAGCTCATTTCCAATATTTTTAGCTCACCCCAAATATTTCCAGGACTTTTGTATCTCATCCACATTTTTTAAATCTTATTCCCAATTAAAATTATTTTTTTTATCTTTAATATTTTCCAGCTTTTCCCCACTACATTTTATCACATCCTAAATATTTTTTAGCACCTCAAACAATATTTTCTACCTCATTCCTAATATTTTCTAGCTCATCCGTAATATTTTCTAGCTCATCCCCAGTATTTTTATCTCATCCGTAAAATTTCCTAGCTCATCCTCAGTATTTTTTAGGTTATCCATAATATTTTCTAGTTCATCCCCCGTATTTTTTAGCATTTTCTGCTTTATCCCTAATAATTTCTAGCTCAACCGTAGTATTTTTTAGATCATCCCCAGTATTTTAAGCTCCTTCCAAATATTTTCCTGGACTTTTGTAGCTCATCCGTAATATTTTCTAACTCATCCCCAGTATTTTTTAGCATTTTCTACTTTATCCCCAATAATTCATAGCTGATCAATAATATTTTTAAGCTCATCCCCAGTACTTTAAGCTCCTTCCAAATATTTCCTGGACTTCTGTATCTCATCCACGAGATTTTTTTATTCTTATTCCCAATATTTTTAAATCCTTTATATTCTCTAACTGATCCCCAATATTTTTATCACATACCCAATATTTTGTAGCACCTCCCAAATATTTTCTAGCTCATTCCCAGTATTTTCTAGTTCATCCATAATATTTCTAACTTATCCCCAGTATTTTATAACTTAAGCATAATCTTTTCTAGACCATATCTCGTATTTTCTATTTCATCCGTAATATTTTCTAGCTCATTCCCAGTATTTTCTAGCTCGTCTGTAATATTTTCTAACTCATCTCAAGTATTTTTTTTAGCTCATGCACAATATTTTCTAGCTCATCTTTCGTATTTTTTACTTCATCCGTAATATTTTCTAGCTCATCCCCAGTAGCTGAAATTTTAAAACATTTTCCCCTAGCTGTATCTTATTTTTAATTTTTCAACCGTCTCCAGTAGTTGTATTTTTAAAAATATTTTCCAACTGTCTCCACTAGCTGAGGTTTAAAGAATATTTTCCGTTTCCACTAGCTGTATTATAATTTTTATTTTTGAACCATCTTTAGTGGCAACTGTCTTCACTACCTGTATTTTCTTTTCTATTTTTTACCGTCACTTGTAACTGTATTTGATTTTTTATTTTCCAACTGTCTCCAGTAACTGTATTTTATTTTCTATTTTTTAACAGTCTCCAACAGCTGTAATTTTTTTTCTTTTTTTCAACTGTCTCCACTATCTGTATTTTATTTTCTATTTTCCACTCGTCTCGTGCTCCTGTTACAAAAAACAATTTTCCGACCGTCTCCAGTAGCTATATTTTATTCTTCACAAGTTGTATTTCCTATGTTCATGACCGTCTCCCGTAACTGTATTCTAGTTCTATTTTCTTCTCAAATCAGTTAGTTGTATTCTTTTTAATATTTTCCAATCATCTCCACTTGCTGCATTTTAAAGAATACTTTCCAACTGTTTCCAGTAGCTGTATTTTATTTTCTATTTTCCAACTGTTTCCACTAGCTGTATTTTTTTTTCTATTTAAAATCTGTCTCCAGATAATTAAAAAATAAAATACAGCTAGTGGAGACGGTTGAAAAATAGAAAATAAAGTACAATGCGCGAACACGGTTGGAAAATAGACAACAAAATACAGCTACTGGAGACGGTTGGAAAGTAGATCTAGAAAAAATCTATACAGCTACTGGGAGGGGTGAGGGTGTGTCCAAATAATCTCCGCCACAAATTCCAAAAACAGTGGCCATGGCAATAGGGACTAGCCAGGCTTACATTGTTTCTAAAAAAATCTTCTGGTGTATTTCAAGGCAAAACTAAAGTGAGCAAGACCCGACAAGAATACGATGAAAATAATGATTGGTCTCCTCAGAATGATAAGAAACGTATTTTGCATCAGTGAAACCTTTTGGTTCCATGAATCGTACTCACATCATACAGAAAGAAACAGAACCTTGACCTTGCATTGTAGAAATAAGTTTAATCATGCGCTGGTATACATTTTTTCAAACATGATACGTGTATTTTACAGCAACCAATTAGTGACAGTTCCTGTAGCAACTGCATGACCACTCTACCAACCAACTGCAGCGGTATATTTGTTTGCTTTGACCACTTCGTAGCTTGGCCTCTATTTACATAGTCAAACTTTGTTGAGCCATTTGATGGTTGCAAAACTGCAAAACTGTACACAGATATCAACAATTGCAGAGTCTTTTCTCTCATTTATTTCAAGGATTTTAAAAATCATTCGAAACTTTTATATTATAAATGTACAAATTCGCCATTTGTGCTTTCTATCTACTCCATATACTTGCTAGTGAGAGTGCTCACATCTCAGTTTGGAAAACATGGGGCCAATTCCTGGGGAAAAAATCCCAGTTAAAAAACCACGATAAAGTCTGGCAGTCCGGAGAATTCTGAAGATGCTCAACCCCATCTAGTCTAAGGCAGACATTTCTTGGAAGATTTAGCCTCTTTATCAACGTCTATCATGTGTGAAGCGGCCTAGATTTATCAGTTTGTTACGACAGACAGTTAGGATTCCAACAACGTTATAATTCTCTCACAAAAAGCCAAAGGCAAAATTTCCAGGGTTTGGATTAATGTCGCTCTTCGTATATTGACCCCCACAGTGCAAACATTACATTGGAACTCTGATATATCCCTTTCCACAGACTTGACAGATTAAATGAGACAAAACAAACATGTTGAGGTGACCTAGTTTTCACAGATTTCACCACACAAATCAGTTCTCTCTTCCACAATTGTTCACCTACAACTGTCCCCCTCCCCCCCCCCCCACCGGTTCAACCACGCCGTTTCCTCCCCACGGTTCACGCAACGTTCTGTATAGGAGGCAGCACTACGTGGCGGTTGGAGCCCGGTCTGATCACGCCGGTCTTCGAGTCCGGTCTTGGGGCAGACGGGGGGCGGGCAGGAGGCAGTTGCGTGTTGGACGCGGAGCGGTAGCCCTGCTCGTCTATCAGGGCCAGCGGGTTCACCTTCTCCGTGGGCAGCAGTCCCTTAGAGTTGGTGTTGTGTTTGCCATCCCTGCCCCGCTGGAGCTCCGTGGCCGAGTCAAGGTCGGACAGGTTGGAGCTGGAGCTGGTCTGACTGGAGGAGGAATCGGGGGACGCTGGAGGCCCCGCCTCCCCAAGGTCCACTCCTGGTTCGGCCGGGTTGATGGGGGCGGAGTAGGCGCGCGGCTCGCCGTTCTCTCCCAGGCCTAGTTGACCCTCCACTGTCTGAGGGGCTGTCTTAGGGTAGCTGGGGGGGGGGGAGGGGGGACGGCAGGATTACTTTGATGAGCTTTTGTTGCTAGAAATATACATCAGTCCAGCATACTACAAAAGATAACTTTGATGTGCCTTTGTTGTGAAAATCATACATCAGTTCAGCGTAATGCAAAAGCATATCACACACCAGTTCAGATCCATTTATCAGAGCCTGTCAACATCAAATATATGAGAATGTTCCGCGCTAGTCACCGATCGTAAAATTGCGTGGCAATCTGAAGATTGCGTTAATATTTCATATTTTTGAAATCATTTTTAAATATTATTCACTTTCATTTTTATTCTTTTACTCACATCAAGGAACATTCACATAAAAATTAAAATTAACCTATGAAACTGAAGAGCTCACAAGAATGATACAACGCCAAGTATCAAACTCAAAGTTCAAAAGTACATTTAATTTATTTGATATTTCAAAAATACTTTTAAAAAAAATTCACTTCCATCTTTATTCTTTTACTTAAATAAAAAAAAAACATTCACATATATTTTCAAAAAAGTAAATATATGAAAATTAAAATTAAAATTAACATATGAAACTTCAGAGCTCACAAGAATGATACAATTATACAATCGTTAAACCGCGCAGGGCAATCTTAAGATTGCATCGATCGGTAAATAGCGCGGAACAAGTATACACAGGCTATCTCGGTAATCTTCATTGCTAATATTTGCCAAGTCGTGGGCTCATATTGAACACTACTGATTCAAATGGAGATTTGAAAGAAACTGTCTCCAATATGCACTGGATATTACACAGATAATCAGTTCAGTGCATTCTTTGGCAAGACAAGTTATCTGTAGCTCAAGACTGAGTACTGCATAGGCCCACTGTACGACCGTGACAAGCAAAGGTACAGGCATATCTGTGTCAGCTGGGACTTTTCTGTTTTGTGTGGTTCTGTCAGCTTTGAAAATACTCATGCACTGTGTAAGAAAATACTCATGCACTGTGTAAGAAAATACTCATGCACTGTGTAAGAAAATACTCATGCACTGTGTAAGAAAATACTCATGCACTGTGTAAACTAAATTTCCACAAGGAAGAATAAAAGAGATCTTTGCTTTTTTATTTTCTTTCTATGAACGTACAGAATACGTAGACTTACTTTGTCAACAGCTGCTCGTACAGTGGCGGCACGTAGCCGCTGACAACTTCCCTGGCCGCGCTGTGCCGACGTTTGATGGACTCCTCTTCCTGGAAGGAGGGAAAAGAAAACTGTCATCACGTACACGCACAAAATATATGCACAAAATACACGCAGCACGTATCATGACTATTTGTGAGAAATGAATTTGGTGTTCACATACTGCACATATCATAATAATACATGGGAAATAAATTTGGTGTTTACATGTTGCACATATATATGCGTGGCCTAGCTGGGGCCCTTTCGATGAAAGGAATGATCAGTGCTTTAATATCAACTAAAAGTAATTGGCCTACGTACTATATTTAGGCCTACACTCTACTGAAATGGGGCAATAACTTTTGAGAGATGCAAAAAATTAGAAGGTCTAGATCTATACTCTCAAAACAAAATGCGCCTCACGAAATGTCACTCCCGGGTTTTCTAAAATTACAAGGACAAAAGCGTCGGCCTACAAAAGCGATCGGCGAAATAAAGAAATTATATATATTTTAAAGAATATTTTAAAGAATCTTTTCATGAAAACCGCATGTCGATCGATGCAGCCATTAAAAAGCCTTTTGAATAGCAACATTCGGCCACCACAAATAGATATAAGAAGAGTAATTTGTTGTTTTAAAAACAAAAGATGATCATTGATGTATGCAATGTGTTTACAATCATGAGAGTGGATATGAAAATTGAAGACCCTGTTGTAAGTCAACTCAATACAGAGATGGCCACCTGCCAGGAGAGATTGGAGGGAGATGAGCCAACATTTTTAGGGAGAAATGAAAAAAAATAGGCAGATTTCAAAATCGCGCCGTTTCGCAGATAATACACCAAAAAAATTTTTAAAAGGATATTATAGTGCATTAAATTCTAATCACCAATCTATTATCTATTTGTGGTGGCTGAATGTTGCTATTCAAAAGGCTTTTTAATGGCTGCATCGATCGACATGCGGTTTTCGCCAAAAGATTCCTTAAAATATTCTCCTGATCATGATGCCCTTTGTTTTTTCAGTTTTGAAAGAGTTTTGCTAAAAAAAAAAAGAAGCTAAATTTCTTTATTTCGCCGATCGCTTTTGTAGGCTGACGCTTCTGTCTATGCAATTTTAGAAAATCCGGTGTGGAAGTGATATTTTGCAAGGCGCATTTTGTTTTGAGAGTATAGATCTAGATCAAGGCCTTCTAATTTTTGCATCTCTCAAGATTTATTTCTCCATTCCAGTAGAGTGTAATATAGTAGGCCAATGACTTTCAGTTGATGTTAATGCACCGATCATTCCTTTCATCGAAAGGGGGCCCAGCTAGCATTATCTAAATCTCTAGATCCATCCTCTAAGATTTCAGCTGAATTATCAACACTACGTACCAATGGGTTAAACATAGCAGTTGATTTTTACGGTTATAATCCCATAGGTTGTAAAAGTACAATGTAGGCCTACTGGCAAGTGTCTCATTTCTCAGCAACAAGAAATAGGATGGTCGGGGCCACAAGGTTATACAAAGGAAATCTCTGCTTTTAAACACTTCTTTATAACATGTGAAGCATCGCGGTGGAATCAGGCGCTCGTCAAAATAACGAAATTGAAGAAAAAAGGCATTTTCTCACAAGTTTGGCAATTTTTATAGAAATTTTTGTTTTTGGCTAAACACCTTTTATGTTCATACGACAACACATTTTGACGTGAAATTTTACTGAAAAACCTTGTTTAATGGCACAAAATAAGTAATTTTCAATTTTCACGGACTCCTAAGTTATTGAAGTTACCAAACTTTAGCGGCCATTTTCTCATTAATTTAATCACTGAAACCAGACTACCCACCTTCTTAAATGGCAAATATCTCGACCTCTATTCAAACTAGATGGATATTTTTTCACTGAAAGCAAGACAAACGATTGAGCTCTCAGATGATACCAATAACTCCACACGCTCAAAAATTGACATGCGCCTGATTCCACCATGTCTCGACACATATATACACATACTTGTTGCAGATTCTATATATATACTATTTACAAGAATCCATGACTTTCCATAGGAAGCTGCTTGTGAAAGCTGTTTGGCAGTGGCAGCCTTACACCTTTCCCAGCCTGGTTTGACAATTGATAGATGTGTTTTAAAATTCCAGGTCTCAAATTGCCGGGGGGGAAAAGGAAAATAACTTTGTTGACTGTTTTTACATATTTGAATTGTTTTGGTTGCTTCCCTTGACATGTTATCTGAACTTTGGCTCAAAAACTATTTCTCATGGCTGGCAGTCAAAACTGAGAAAAAATAGGGAAACTCGGGAGATTGGGGCGTTGGAAGTGGTTGTTGGTACAGGTGAGTATCCTGGACAGGTGGCTGTGAGAGCAGGTTTGACAGTGTAAGTTTGGGAAATCAAGGCCCCAAGATCTGGAATGCTTGGCCAAATACTTTAAGAGAGATCAAATCTTTTGATTCATTCAAATGCCAGCTGAAATCATTTCTGAATTTAAATTAATAAGATGAATGTTTGGAGTGATCTTCTTTTAGTCAGACCACAACGTTTTAAGTTACTGTTGTACGTTGTACTGTATTGTAAAGCGCCCAGATCCTGTGTACTTTAATCAGGGTTGGGCGCTATATAAATGTCATTTATTATTATTATTATTAAATGTAACATGTTGAAAATGAAATACAGACAACATAGTAAAGGAAGTGAAACAGTGAGGGCTCGAGATGAACGAAACACCAGTCAGTTTCTCATTATGTCACACTGGACAAGGCTGCTCACACAACAAAACAACAAACAACAAACAAGATCATGATCCTACTGCTCAACCAACAAAACTCACAACGATGCCTCGGCTGACTGGTGCCCCTGAGCTGACCCTGGGCCCTCTCGTCTGAGACATGCTGTCCGGAATGCTGGGCTTGGACCAGGTCCGGGCTCCCATCTGATTGGACGAGGCCGCGCCGGTGAAGCCCTGGAAGGCGTCGGTGACCTCCCTTGTGTCTGTGATGGTGTAGGGGGCGGCCGTGCTCACGGGCGTGGTGGTGCTGATGCCCAGGTAATCCATCACCAGCCGCCGCATCTGTTTGTAGGCTTCTGTGATGTCATCTGTAGGGAAGTAATAATCATAGATAGAATTTGTATAGTGCAAATCCCCATTCAACAGCAAGCTCTATGTGTTTTGACAATTATAGATAGCATTTGTATAGCTCTCATCCCCGCTCAAAAGCAAGCTCTATGCGCTTCACAATCTACACTATTACCCCAGCAGACCTGAGAGCATTCTGAAACAACCTCAGCTTCCTGGGAAGCATACAGTGCAAGCGGCCATTTATAGGCGCTAAAACCCTAACATACTGACAAGTCTTTCGCTGTCTATGGCCGGGTACCCATTCCCACCTGGGTGAAGTGAGGAAAATTCGTGGGGTGCCTTTCCCAAGGACACAACAGAGAGGGGGGGGGGGAACCTTTGGAGAGTCTTAAGGCTTCACATCCATCTAATCTGAGATGGGCATTACCTTGAAAATCCTGTCCTCTCTCCACCCCCCACCCCCCAATCTTTTGAATAACTTAAATTGTGCTGAAAAGGGAAGCACAAGTCAAAAAGTCATACAAAAATGTCCACATAAAAAGTACTCCTGAATTCAACGAGAGACTCACCACTGCAGATCATCATGTCAAAGAAGCCAGGGTGGTCCTGATTCTGCTTGACGTACATGTCCGATCTCTTCAGAGTTTTCTGGATCTGGTCCTCCGTGTAGATCCCACGTTCTCGGAGTCGTCGTTCATGGTCCTCCGCGTTGAGAGGCATGACCAGTACGTAGCGGGGCTCGAAGTATGTGTTCTTCAAGGTCAGCACTCCCTGGAGAGTCAACAAGGAAAGGTTACTTTTCCCTGAACGTCTTTTTCGATGGTAAATGACGTACTCTGACAATATCTTGACTTCACAGATTTTTTAAAAAGACCATTTTAAGCAGTGAGTCATTGAGAATGTGATTTAAAAGACATATTCTTATCCCCTTGTCTAATCAGAGGGAAACATGAAGAACAAGTACATTTTAAAATGCAGAAACTACAGAAAAAACAAAACAAAGAGAGAGATATTCTGTCATGAAATGTTTGGTCTGTCCCTTCCTTGAACATTGGAAAAATGGCCACCGCATTTGTAATAGAAAAATAGACCAAAAAAACTTTATATTTATTCATTAAGAACCACAAAAATCTAAAACAAAACAGGAGAAACCAGAGAATTAGAAAATTTTCCCCAAAAGTAGAAAGAGAAAAGAACAAAAAAGCAGAAAGAAAATAAAACCCCAAAAAGAGAAAAAGCAAAAAGAGGAAAAGGTTTACCTCCAGCTCCATGTGAACCACACAGGCCAATCCCTCTCGGGCGACGTTCTCCACAGATTCCATCTGCAGTCCGTACCAGTTGTCACAGTACTGATATGTCTGGATAAACTGGCCCTACACAAACAATTGTCACACTGATATGTCTGGATAAACTGGCCCTACACAAACAATTGTCACACTGATATGTCTAGATAAACTGGCCCTACACAAACAATTGTCACACTGATATGTCTGGATAAACTGGCCCTACACAAACAATTGTCACACTGATATGTCTAGATAAACTGGCCCTACACAAACAATTGTCACACTGATATGTCTGGATAAACTGGCCCTACACAAACAATTGTCACAAAACAAAATGTTTTATTTCATTTTAAAAGTCTTTTAAATGCCTTGAAGCATTTGAAGAACGATACACAAGTTGGACCAAAATCTTTCCTGAAACAACTGCTCTGACAGTTTTTTGAGAGACATGAATAAACCTGTACAACCATCTCTACTTTTACAGCAGAAAAGAAAACTAAAGTCATAAAACAGATACTGAAAGTTAAATTGAAACTTCGATTCTGATTTCAGAGAAAGAAATATTTGCAGATCTTCAAAACTTATCTTTACATATTTTTCTAGATACATTTTCTCTTGACTATCATTTTAAGCACCACAAAAGATAAGACTTTGTAAATTACCATTTTGATATCCATCTCAAATTTTTCAAGCGATGCAAAGTAGTAATCCTTGCCTGCCACTTCATCTGAACGAGGTTGCCTGGTAGTGTGGGAAATACTGCCGGAAAAATGTAGCAAAACCATGGTAAATCATAGAGTAACAACTGCCCCCCAGGGCAGTGCCACTGACTGTAGTGTCTTTAGGCCATTCCCAAAGGGGGGACATTTCTCGTTCAAAAACAGTAGAATTGTAAATGGGCTCATCTAAAAATGTCACGCTCATAACTGTGCCTGAACTACAACAGGGAACTGCTGCTTTTTCTTTCCTAATCCTTACTATTGTCATTTTCCTCTACTTCTTTTGTATGTTTGTCACTCTCTTGTGAACCGCTATTTCCGGGGTGCCTTGATAGTCGAAGCAGACCTTGTGCTGTTGAAGCTAGAGAGGTGAGCAGAATAAGCCTGATTCCCTGTAAGGACTTCTCTGTTGACACCCACCCCTTGGCGCTCATATGACCTTATGCAGTTGTGAGAGCCGTAAAACCCTCTACCGTAAATAGAGTAACAATGCAGACTACAAAAAGTATGTTTCTCCACTGGTTGTATCAGTTTTATAAGAGATGCCACGATAATTGAAGTGAGGTCACTCAACACATAATAATATTTTGGAACTGAACGGCACCTACAAAAAAGGAGGTATCATAAACAGGCTCTGTGCGAGATATACCAAATCTCTAAAATGTTCAAAATATTTTTTTAAAAACCCAGTGATATTCAGATCATATTTGCTTATATCCAACGAGTGACAAATTCTTTCCTCGTACAAAATACATAACCATGAGACTGAGATATATCAGAGCAGTGATTTCACAGACGGAAATAATTCTAAACTGATTCTCTAAAATACAAACACATAATTTTTGTTATAACAGTCACGAGTCCACTTACCAGAAAATATATATATTGGAATTTCAATCTTTCACACAGTTGCGCTAGCCTAGTAATATCAGTATGAAACAGCACAATGCAGCTTGCTATTCCTTTCATCTCCCAAAATTCTAAGGGACCAGATATATATTGCATTGAGTCTGAGACGTATCCTCTTCATACGTCTGTTACAATATATAGGCCTACATATAACACTCTTGTCACATGAGCAGAGGTCAGAAGGTGCCAAATAATGTTTGTCAAAATGAAACACTTCAAAAAATAAAAAAAGACATTAAACATCCTTTTATAATACTTTATTGGAACATGTTTTACGCATCTTTAGAGAGATAACTTAAAATTAGTAATAAGGCAAATATCTTCGTTTACATAGAGGTAAATCAAAAGTGTGCTTAGTGACGTGTGACATACGAAGAAAGGCCCTTTTATTTGTACGTATAACAATTATTCTATGATCTATCCATGCATTGTCACATACCCATAGCCAAAGTAATCTCCAAACTCATCCACGAGCTTCATCGACAGATCTTTCTTCCCCGATCCTTGAGGCCCAACCAGCACCAACATGGGATAGGGAGTCTCGATGTTGGGCAGCGTACTGAAACACGGAGGAAAACATAGATCTAGCTGATGCACCGCTTCTCAGACAGCAAATACAGATGTTGTAGAGTAATCATAATGTAACATTATAAGTACCCACTTTCAGTATTCCATAACAAGTACTGTAATGGTCAGTATATCGGTATCGTTGAGAGCAAGAAAAGAGTAACACACACACACACACATAAACAGACAGACAAGAACAAAGATGTCTAGCCTACGGCAGCACAAGCCACTGTCTTGTAAAGTTTAAGTCTTATATTAAACTCTGGAACACAACCCGAGAAGTTGTTTCATTTAGTAATGTTTAATGTTGTTGGTGTTCTTGGACTGTTCGCAAGTAGAATACACAACAACAGACAGCAGCTATAAATCTAGCATCCCATCTGCTTTAATTTCTTTTTTTTTAACCAGTAAAGAAAAGCACATCAACTCAATATAGGTCACTCAGTGCAGGGAAAAAGCAAGACAGAAAGACAGACACAACAGAGGGAAACAACAGCAAAATCTGCCACTTTTAAAACCAAACATCCAAAAGAGAAGGGGAGAAAAGTCCTGAGACAAAGAAATGAGGGAGAAGCAGAACCAGCGCCCGTCACTGCACAACGAGACTGAACTACTTTCTCAGAGACGGAATTAAATGTCAGCAGGAATGTATATCAAACTATACAAACTATAAACATAATATGTTCCTACAAAAATGCACATAATTTTCTTTCTTTAATTTCTTTCTATCAAGAATAAGAAGCCAGAGTTTTGACTTCTGAATGAGAGAACTGTGAGGCCAGTCTTGACTGTCCAAGTCATTTAGCCGTGGAATTATAGATGGACCCGTGTCTCTGGAGTAGAGGTTAGGCCACTATTGTTGCACGCACAAGACAGGAGTTCGATTCTCGAGCGGGTAAGTTTCTTCAATTGAGTATCTTCGTTTTTCTGCCGAAATGTTGTATGTCCCTCAGTTAGGGTTGGCCCTGATGGCGGGCTGAGGCAGCACGTCTCCTAAACGACCTAAAGTTGTGTGGATGGAGGCGTAAACCAAAGTTTCTACCTGTCCCAGACCCTGGACGGCTGCAGGAACGAGTAGACGACGTGCATGATGTGGTCCCGGGACGCTACAACTTCTCGTGGTGGGTCGAACATATTGATGGCCGCAACCTGTTGAATCGAAAATTAAAAATTCGTAAACTCAGAGTCCACTCAAGGAGTCACATATGGTCACTTAGAACATCAAGGTTAAAGTTTTTGGACTCTTATTCAGTTTTTTTAAAGGATAAGGAGAGTTTTCTCTATAACCAAACAAATACACACACCAATGAAACCAAACTTCTTCTTTAGGTAGGGCAATACCCACTTTTGGTGTAGGTCAAGATTTCTGGAAACTTCCGACATCTGGTTTGGCCCGCTTGGCCTTAGAAGCGAGCATATAATGCAGGAACCACCTGCAGGAATTACAGTCATGATTTAATTACTTGCACGGTAACAAGGGTAAGCCATTCATACATGTCAACGTTTTTAAACATTTATTCTGACTGTCTATTGCCATTTGAAATACACCCGGACCTACTCTAACAGCCACCTGTATAAGACAAACATCTCTCCAAGCAGCCACTTCCTATTTCTCCACATTACAATGACACTGTGTAAGAGGTCCACCTGCCAAAGACGGCCATATTTCTCCTTGACAACGGGCGGCCGTCTGACAACTTCGACTGCGATATAACATATTATAATGACACCTTGTAAGATGTCGACTGTGATGTAAATGAACCAACCTTCTCCTGCTCCTTCACGTGGTGTCTGTCCAGCGTGGTGAGACGACTGATCCGGAACAAGATGGATAGTCTGTAGTCTGGCAGTTCTTGGATCGGATTCCTCAGTAAGTTCAGGTCTCGCAAGTTCCTCGCATTCTTGATGTGGTTGATCTCCACAATGTCGATGACCTGGAAGAGAAAAGCATCAGAAAAGTAGAAACATAACACACAGTAAATGTGCAAGAGACTCATCCCCGCCTCTTCAAAGATGTGAGCCGCCATTTTCCTTTTGTATTCTATTTTCCTGTGACAGCGAGGCCAGAATCTCCTCTGAGCAAATAAGTATTTTCAAGAGCTTTTTAAAGTAACATTAGCTCTCATACTACAAAACCCTCTAGAATTAAAAAAAATTACATTATTAGCTATCATTAACAACAAAACCCTCCAGAATCCCCAACCCCCAACTGAAAAAAAAAGAAATTTCAAAATATCATTGACAACATAAATACTTTCATTCTTTATTTCAACAAACTTCCCAGCTCCATTTCCAAGCTATGCAAAAGTTGGATATCTTAATTCTATCATTATTCCTGTTTCTCAAGTCTTTTGTCCCCGTTATCTGTTATATCTGTTCTAAAACAAACCGATCATCAACTCAAACAGATTTGGAAAGTCCCACAGAATTCTAGTCAAGCAAATTCTGTCTGCAGCTTTCTTACTTTGTGTTTTCTAAAAATGATTCATGAACAAATCCACCAAAAAAAATTATATTAAAGAGGAACTTTCTCTCTGTCATGGTATAAAGAGGTGCTCAAGTTGTACCGCAGCAGCAGTTATTCAGCCTCGTGTCTTCTCTTCAAACAAACATAAAGGTCCTCACTTAGAGAACGACAAATCACACAGCTGACAGTTAACAATAAAAAAAATCCCAAACTCTTACGATTTAAAGTTTCCAACAGCATCATTCCAAACTTACAGACAACATCTAAATGAACGCCGGTATTCTGTAATTGGAAACTACCACTGCAGAAACAACAGCAGAGAGAATAAGAAACTATCTTCAATCTACAAAGCTGCCAACCTCGTTGTCTTCCACATCGACAGATTCCAGTAGAACGTTGTGGTCTAGGCCAGACAAGCTCCTGATGGTGTTGCCAGACAGGTTCACTTCCTGGACAAGAAAAGAATCGACACATTACAGAGATAATTATAGCTATGAAAAAACAGATTAAGTTAATTTGTTTACAATTTTTGCTGCACCTTTCATGAAAGTTATGAACATTTCTAAATTTTGTTTTTACAGGGACAAGGTGGGCTTGAACTATCCACACAGAATTATCAGTCCACTGAGGGCAAGTTTATGGATTTCTTGTTGTGGAAACAGCTGAGCTGTGTTTGTGAAGACATACGCTCTTTGTTTTTCCCTACAACAGCACAACAACGAAACAAAAACAGTTAAGAGAGAAATTGATTTGTGCACAATTACTTGTGGACATAATTCAGCCACAATTACTTGTGGACATAATTCAGCCACAATTACTTGTGGACATAATTCAGCCACAGTTACTTGTGGACATAATTCAGCCACAAAATTAACAACAAAGACCAGGAAATTGCAGAAGCAGCTCAGTTTAAAAAAAAGGTAACCATTTCAATGATAAAAAGTTATATGATTTCAAGTCACATAACGATTTATGCACGTGACCCTTTCAGAAATGAAAAGAGATTTGTCTTACCCGCAGGTACTTCAAGGTCTCCAAGTTTTCGATCATTCTGATCTCATTGTTGCTCTGAGGAGGTAGACAAAGACGATTTGACAATGTAAGGTGTAGGAAACAACACAAGGTGCTCAGCATTTCAACATTCACAAAATTGCTCAAAATCAGTCTGTCATCTGTAACCATAAGGATGGTAACATATACTAGCTCTTAATATTTACCTTGTAGATGTTTACGACGTAATGCCAGTTATGTGCACAACTTTCTAAAGTAAGTGTAAGCCAAAACTCAGTTTCAGACAGATCAGTAGCCACTCAATTTAACTCACCCATTCTCTTCTCACATCCACTATGACCATTATTCATACTCCTATAAGATCATTTAAATATATCTGTGGCACTTCATGACTTGGGTAAAGGCATAAAGAAAAATTTAACCACGTCTTCTGGAATTTCACCACTGTCGTAGATAGGCTATTATTTCAGAGCTTTGTCGGTACCCAATTCTTCTAATGTGACATTCATTTCAACTGTAATATTATCTGGCCCCGTAGCTCTTCCATGATTCATTTTTATTAAAGGGACCTTACAATTTAACTTACCAGATTCAAATGCTGTATGGGCAAATCATTCAAATTCTGTATTTTCTTGATCTTGTTGTGTGAAATGCTCAGATGTTTTAATCTCTTGCATTTTTCTAATCCTTGAACTGCTGGAATTGTGTTGTCTTTATTCAGTTGAGGAAAGCAATACTTTTTAGTAGTTTACAAATTCAATTCAAAAGTTATAAGTCTTTGCTGACAAAAAACATTCCAAAAAACATTGCTGTTTGTCAATATCAAAGAAAAGGAACAATCAGAGAAAAAAGATCAAATGAACTCAACACATTCACTACAAAAGAAACGGGACAGTATATATCGATAAAAACCCGAAAACCTCAAAGAGTCTAAGCCAAACGGAGATGAAAAAATGTCAACATGCTTTGAAATCATACCTTTCTAGACATAGAGATTCAAACAACGAAATATTTTCATCAATTTCAGTGATTTTAATACATCATTTCTAAATATCAGTGCCCTCTTTAAAAGGCCATAATACTTGCTTCTCAATACCACTAATTTTGCCAGTTTGATATTTACAATAAGTAGCCTATAAAGTTTCAGTCCTTAATTTTTCCAAAGCAAACAGAACACAGACAAAAAGTAGCAGCATAAAGGATACTGTCAAGAACCAGCTTCTCTAAGTTTCGGTGAGCTGATAGGTCGCGCATTTCTTCAATTTTGTTCCATGACAAATCAACCGTTTGTAGATTTGCCGGTGGCTCAAAGTCCAAGAGAGTGGGAATTCTGTTGTGGGAAGCATCCAGGACGAGAAGAAACTTCAGTTTCCCGAGAGGAGACAAATCTGTTCACGGAACCAAAGGAAAAAAAGTCATAACTCAAATATTTCAAAGCGATCATAGAGTAGTTCATCAATGTAAAAGATGCAGAAAAACATTAAAGCATAGAGATGTAGAGGTACAGCTAAATTTTGCAAACAAATTAAGTCTGTTTTCTCGTTGACATAATTTCAAGCAAATGAAAACCCCACTTAATTATTAGCTACCTTTAAACATTACAAAAAGATTTTTTTTAAAAAGTTCTATTCTATAAAAACATCTATTAACCCAGCGTTGTATTTGCTGAGTACACTTTTTAAAATTTTCACTGCTTTTTTCTTTTTGATCTTTACCGAGATGTATTTAAAAAACAATACACCACCATTTTTTGATATTTTACAACCATCATACTTCAAAAATATCACAGAAAAAGTAAAAAAGTAACAATTCAAACCCAAAATGTTATTACAAGAAAACATTTCCACAAAAAAGCATCTTGCCTGTGATATCATTGTACGGGATCTCAACTTTCTGGAGGTGCTCGTACTCTGCAATCAGGCTGATGTCTGTCAAGGAAAATCCCTGAAAGCAAAGAGAATCATTGTGCCAGTATAAATCAGAGACTTACCCTGATGTCTTGTAGTTGTTATCTGTTGAACTTGAATCATCTCTTTTTTTAAAGTTTTAAATTATTTTGTATATCAAACAAATTTCCGTTAGTTTTCTTTCATAAGCGCCAATCTTGGTTTTTGTTTGTTTGCTTTGTTTTTGGGTTTGTTTGTTTTTTCTTCTTTTTTTGGGAGGGGGAGGGGGGGGGGGGGGGGGAAGGGAGAGAGTGAAAAGTGGTCACTCTGGAAAAACTACAGATAATAACTAAATACATCATACGTTATTTCACAACACTGATAATCAAAATTCTCAATTTTCATGAGAATATTCCAATAATTGATTCACAGTTGAAATAGGTAAACAAAAATACTCAGCAGTTAAGAGAGTTAAGTACTGAGAGTTTATAATACAACAAACTATCGCTAGCTCTAAAAAAAAAAGTAGTGCACCTCCATTTCAGCAAAACCAGCAAAAATAATATTTTCATTGCTTTACAAAGTGCCGACCCCCTTCCTCTTCAAGCCACCAAGTCATCAAAGCATTACATGATACTTTTCTTTGGCTCCCTGGGAAAATACATCAAAATAACCTACCGGAATTGTGACATTGAGATAAACTTGACCGTCGCCAGTAGCAGATCTCCCAAGATTTGACAGACCTCTTGCAACTGTCTCTTCGTCCAGAACCCCATCAGGTGAAAGCTGAAAAATGAAACACAGAACGTTTAACAAATAACTTGCAATGTGTGTACCTTGTCTAAAGGAAGATGCACTTTCACTTTTGTTTTGTAGGAAATTATTTTTACTTAAGTAATCTAGATGAATATCATTCCCATATTGCTATAACTAACATTAGGTTCCAAGCTTCATGAAGTAAACCTATAAAGATATGGGCAGGGATTGTTTGAAGGCCTCAGAGAGAGAGAGAGAGAGAGAGAGAGAGAGAGAGAGAGAGAGAGAGAGAGAGAGAGAGAGACAGAGACAGAGAGAGAGAGGGGGGAGAGAGGGAGAGGGAAGGAGAGAGAGAGAGAGATCTAGAGAGAGAGGGGGGGAGGGAGGGAGAGAGAGAGAGAGAGAGAGAGAGAGAGAGAGAGAGAGAGAGAGAGAGAGAGAGAGAGAGAGAGAGAGAGACAGAGAGAGGGGGGAGGGAGAGAGAGAGAGAGAGAGAGAGAGAGGTAGAGAAAGAGAGAGAGAGAGCGAGAGAGGGGGGCCCGCGTGGACATTGACACACGTATATTAATATATAAGTATTTTAAGTTTTAATACTAGATCTATAGTATACACTTCATAATAGTGCATACATGAGTTGTATTCACTTCTATTCTGTACAAAAAGCAATAAAACAGCATTCAGTCAAGGAAGGGGAAAATGCATTAAAAAACACAAAAAGAAATAAAACAAAAAACAAAACAACAACAACCTCAACACCCTCATCGTCTGCCTCCTCTTCTCCACCATCAACAGCATCGTCCTTCGGTAAATCAGGCTTCTCAGTGTCTAATATCTCATCGTTTTGTAATTCCCCGACATCATCATCAAGTTTAAGAATATCAGTTTCTGGATCCATCAAGGCAGCCTCCGAATCCATTTGAGCATAGTTTTCCTCCGTATACGGCGAGTTAAGTCTTGGGTCCATCATGAACCACCATGAATAAACGGTGCCATGACAACTTAGTGGACAACTTAGTGCAGGGGTGAATCACACTTCCGGTATCAGGTATTTTGAGGTTTCATGAAAATTCAAAACATTAGATATTATATGGCAAATTAAAAATTTTGAGTTTTTGCGTTACAGAGGATCAAAATTACAAGCATAATACAAAAAATAAATTAAAAACATCTTTTTACTGCGAGCATTTACTTCCTTGACATTATATTGCCGAGTTGATACACCAGTTCACTTTAATCTAAAAATAAGATATTTTGAAAAAAATGTTTTTATTTGGATTTGAAGATCTGGAGGGACTTGTAAAATACTATTAAAAACAGATAATTTCTAGAAACTTGTAAATTTGTATAAAATTTTGTTATTATATAATGTGGAAAAGCTCTACCTGATCTAGCCCTACATTATGCAACAATTTACCTGGCAAAGTTTCACAACACATGTTTCAAGATGGCAGCGCTCATCATTCGACCTTTCCTGGAGACCTCGAAAATGTCAACAAAATCCCCCTTTTTGCTAAAATGTGCAAAGCAAATTGTTGCATCTCAGGGAAGGTACTTTTCAATCTCTACTAGACTACTTGCAGCCCCTCCGGCAGCAGGGAAGAAGTCGTTTTCGCGTGAGAAGCCGCATTTGAACATCGGTACGATAGGTCATGTGGACCATGGGAAAACAACTTTAACTGCTGCAATCACAAAGGTGCTTTCGGGACAGGACAAAGCGTCGTTCAAGGAATACGCTGATATTGATAATGCCCCTGAGGAGAGAAAAAGAGGCATCACCATCAATGCTGCTACAGTGGAGTACGAGACAGAGACAAGGCATTATGGGCATGTTGACTGTCCAGGCCATGCAGATTACATCAAAAACATGATTACGGGAACTACTCAAATGGATGGTGCTATATTAGTAGTAGCTGCCACTGATGGTACCATGCCCCAGACAAGAGAACATCTTTTGCTGTCCAAGCAGATTGGTTTGAAAAGACTTGTGGTTTTTGTTAACAAAGCAGATGCTGCTGATACAGAAATGCAAGAGTTAGTGGAAATGGAAGTCAGGGAGCTTTTGACAGAGTTCGGCTTCGATGGAGATGAAACGCCTATCATAATAGGATCGGCACTGAAGGCTCTTGAAGAGACTGACCCAGAGATTGGTGAACAGAAAGTGAAAGAATTGTTGGATGCAGTTGACAATTACATTGAATCTCCTGTGAGAGACCTGGACAAACCTTTTTTCATGCCCATTGACAGTTGCTTCAGCATACCTGGCAGAGGCACAGTCATCTCTGGCAAAGTTGAAAGAGGTGTAGTTAAGAAAGGGGATGAGTGTGAAATCATGGGCTATGACAGGAAATGGAAAACAAATGTGACTGGCATTGAGATGTTCAAGAAAAGTCTGGATAGAGGAGAGGCAGGCGATCAGCTCGGAGCCTTAATTCGTGGCGTGAAAAGAGACGAAATGCGTCGTGGCCTATGCATGGGCAAACCTGGAACAATGAAGATGCACAATCGGTTCGAGGCACAGATATATCTCCTCTCAAAGGTAAGTTTGTATCATTACGAATTCGACGGAATCGTTACGATTTTTATTCAGCTTTATGAAAATATGATCGTAATCTCTGATTCCGATATTTAAAATTTTGGCTACCCCAGCCCACTGCCCCAACCTTCCAAGGGGATAAAACTACCTCCCGGAAAGTCTGCGTCACTACATCACATTCAGCTGTTTAACATTAACATCCTTTTGGCCCTGAACTCTAGTTGTCCTTCTGTGCCACTTTGCTTGTTGTCTGCTTTCGTCTCCACTTTTGAAGCAGAAAGTGGAGAGGCGTGCAACAGTGCTTGCGGTATTGAAAGAGAGTTAAAGAAAGCTGTTTCTTTTCAATATGGCCGCTGCTACCATGGTAACCTTGGATTTAAAAAGATAATGTTATGTTGCATTTTATAGTATGTTTCCCTCTTGTACCTCTTTGTGATAATTTTAAAAAGTCCTCATAAACCAGAGGGGTTTGCTCATTGTACAGTAGCCTGTCCCACTGTCGTCAATACACGTCATACGACATGTGTTCAAAACTAAGTACCCGGTATCCCCATTGGGCTGTCTCGCACACTTCCTGTGTGTCTGTGATGAGATTGGGCTTTGTTATGACAGTTATTTATGCTGGATATTGAGAAACTCAGCCATCTGTCATTTGAGAACGTCCCCATTTTTATTTTAAAAACTTAAAACATATATATATATAAAAAAATAATATTTGTAATGTGCAGCTATGATTTAGAATGAATTTCATGTTTAGTTTTATTTGCTTTTGTTCCTGAACTTAATGCTGGTGTGGACTGTCATTAGGTAATCAGTCAGCTGCAACCTCCTGTGAACCTCATTTTCTGTGGCTGAGGCATCTGTTTGAGTTGGAAAAATAGTTTTCGCTACTTGTTATTGTTTTTTTTGGGGTTATTTCAGTTTCAAAATGTTGTCAGCTTTGCAAGTGTTGTTTCATGACAACGAAAAATTATGTGAGGCTTGGTATCTGATCTTTCTTTCTCATCAAACCTGAAGAGTAGATTCTACACCTGCTGAATTGAGCAATTTTGCACTGACTCTCGAATGAAGAGTTGGAGAGTTGTCAAGGTCTACAATCTTTACTCAAATCCACCTTTATCTTCACAAATTCATTTATTGTAGCATGTTGCAATATAAAACGGAGAGCTGCCAAGGTATCCTCACTTGAATGAATTTTGGTTGTTTCTTCTGTTCTTTTCCCACCCAGGATGAGGGAGGCCGGAACAAACCTGTGACCCCTTTCTCCCAGGTCATCACGTTCTGCAACACGTGGAACCAGCCTGCGCTGCTGGAGATCCCGGACAAAGATCTGTTGATGCCCGGGGAGGACGGCAAGCTTGTGTTCAACATGTTCAAGAAGATGGTCATGGAGAAGAACCAGCGGTTCACCGTGCGAGACGGTCACACGACCTTAGGGTACGGAGTCATCAGCGAGATCTTGCCCGACAGAGACCCCGACGAGCTTGAGAACACAAGGAAAGAGATCAAGAAACAGAAGAGGGCGTCGGACGACCAGCAGTACTGATTCCTTTGTCTAGGGAGGGGTTGGATGGTTCGGAGAGACTGTGTGAATCTTGTCACTGTGGATACAAGGAATTAAGACTGAAGTGTGATATATGGTTATGTTTTAGTACCGGCTTATGAAAGTGGTTTATTGTTTGTTTGTTACGTGATATTTGTGGAGAGACTGGTGTTTCAAGAAACTTGGAATGTGAGTGAAGAGTAATTTATCATGTTGTGTTCCAGTTGCTGCCATGAGAAGTTTTGATCTTCTGGGGTAATATTTCTACTTTTGTTTTTAGTTTCCATGCTTTTAGCAACGCTGTTTTGCAGTGATTTAGTATCTACAACATTGTTTGGCTTAATTGAGTGCTGACGTCCTCAAATTTAAAATGGCATATTGCATATGAGAGTAATCTCAAGTGTGAGTTGCCCAGTACCAGCAGCAAAGTGTGGAGTGTCAACTTGGCCAACGTTCTTGTTTCTTAATTTTTTTTTTTTGTTGTATGTGGAATTTGATATTTTACTCTCTGTGATGGATAAATAGATATCCTTTAGAATATGTGGCAAGGCTGTCTTCTACTCAATTGCTTAAAAGTAGTAAAAAAAATTACTTATAGATCTAGTACAGTGTATGTTACTGAGTAGAGAACCGTCATGGTCACTTTTCCAAGACTATTTCCTCTTTAAATTTTATTACTCGTCACAAGCAATGGTTTGTAGTTTCGATCTCAGTCTGCCTATTTTGGATTGAGTTGCTTATTACTGAGTACAGTACAAGTCTGCTTTCCCACTGTTTATGACGCTTAGTCTGTTATTCCACCGATTTACTGCTCCTAGTGCTAGTTCCTGTGCGGTATCACTAATTTGCCGCCCAAATTTTCATAACAACTTGTGTGACGTGAGACCCCTGTCCACTGGTGTAAATTGTTGTAGTGGACAAGAATTAAAAACACCAGAAGCTTGAAGGTTCTTGTCTGATAGTTGAGTTGTAATGGTAATTGGTGATATAATATGACTTGATTTAAAGGACTTAGGTGATATATCATCAGTTTGGCTTGTTTGACAATCACACACTGTAAAAAGTGAACTGGGACGTAGACAGTTTTGTCTTTATTGGTTTTTATTTTGCCTTCACTCGCTGAAAGATGAATCTGTGATGCAGTGAGATTGTTTTCTGCAAGCTCACGTAGCTTGTATAGAAAAGTTTTTGAGCATTCATTCATGATCATGGTGGATTTAGAGCGGTATTTTTTTTAACATGATGAAAAAAAATATTTTCTTTCCATTTCCTGCAGTGGAAACCACATACCATTTTATTGTTCGAAAGACTTTTTGATTCTACTCTATTTCAATTATGCGTTAGTTATTGAATATTTGGTGCTAACTCGACTAACTGGATGGAAACTTTTTTTTTTTCAATTTTTAGAAAATGCTCTCGTTTTGTCTCAATAAATCGTATTCCTTGGGGGCTGAATAATTCAGGATCCTCAAAGAAACCTTACATTTCATTACAAAATGAATAATTAGAGAGAATATGCATCAAATACCGTTCATGTTGTGCCAATGTTGCGGATAGACCAGTAGCTCCTTTTGCCCGAGTAGCTTGAGAAGATGTGAGCTGTACAGATACAGATGTGTGTGTGTGTGTGTGTGTGGAGGAAAGTGTACATTTTCTCTTCCTGAAGAAACTGTTAGTTGTAGCCTACACTTTTGCCCTGCTCAGTGCAACACCCATCAACCATTACGAGAAAGTGAAAGACACTGAATGTGACTTGCCCACTATGGCATGGCTATTTCATTTTCAATGCCATATGTAGGCTACATGCCTTTTGGGGGATTTTTTCGACACAGGCTCATAGAAATACATTTGATGACAGTCAACACTTCTACTTCTGCTCTGTCCAAAAAGGTCTTCTCTATTGCTATCTTTGGAAAATTGATGTACATGTACTAGCGCAGGGAAAAGAATTATGTAGCCTAGCAGTAACCTTTCTATGTTCGACTTTGAGAAGTTCATCGAACCTGTCCTGCAAAATGTTTTGTCTTTCAGGTTTTGTATAGCCTCAGACTCAAACTTCATCATCCTTCATCTAATCAAGCACTTGTGTACTGTGTGTGAATGGCTGACTTAAGTTATCGAGGAAATGTGTTCATTGTCTGGTTTTCAGTTTCTGAAAGTTCTTGGAACATCAAATAAATCTGTTCTTTTTTAGCATAAACAAGTCTAAATTTATTATTTTTGTGCTTTGTCGCTTTGTGTTGTATGTTGGTGTTTGGCGGGTGCTCTGGTGTGGTTTGCTTCATCTTTCCTATCAAACATCTATCGTCCTTATCTCCCCTTCTTCTTTTTTATGTTTGTTACTCTCTTGTAACACCTCTAATCTTCTGGCGCTCATATGACCTTATGCAGTTGCGAGCATCGTAAAACCTCTACTAAAACTTAAAAAAACATATTTTATATATATATCATGAAGTTGTAATGCTGTGATTAGTATGAATTGTCTCAACTGTCCCCGAGTGTCTTCGACATATTTGATCAACCATAAATCTATTGCTCTAGTGTCATGGCCGTCAAGTCCTACGTAAGCTGTTACACTGTTACTGTATTTGGGATCTGTCCCTCCACTTTCTCGATAAGAAAAATCAGCCTGTTTCAACACAGAAGAGTTCTACTTTCTCAAACTCCAAATCTGGAGAAAGAAAGGAGTGTGAACCAATAAAAAGATGAAGATGTGTGTTGTCTTCATTCTCAACTTCTGTCAGTGCTCAAGATCATGAAGATGGCCTCTGATCTGGGAATTGACCTTTTGCTTTTGATAACCAGACACTTTTAAAATTCCTGTTTTTACAACAGGAGTCTGGGGAGTCATTTGCAATGACATAACAGTACAGGCATGGTCACAAAATGAAATAGTGAGGATAAATTTTAATTCTTGTAGGCTCGTATTAGAATCTACAGAACATTCTTCTGTTTGAATTTTGGTCCTTTAAAATTGATATCCTCACAATTTCCGTTGCGACTATACCACCATTATAATAAAGGAAGTCATACTAAGACTAAGGGCAGTGAGAAAACCTCCCCACTATTTTCTACACCATCCACATTTTATCTTCATCAACCCTACTATTTTCTTACATCATCCCAACATTTTTATACTTCATCCCCACTATTTTCTGCTACATCCGCACTTTTTTCTACATCATCCCCACTTTTTTCTACATCATCCACTATTTTTTTACATCATCCCCACTTTTTTTTCTACATTTACCACATTTTTTTCTACATCAACCACATTCTTTTCTACATTATTCCCACTTTTTATTTACATCAACTACATTTTTTTCCACATCATCACCACTATTTTTACATCTAACACACTTTTTTCCACATTATCCCCACTTTTTCTACATCAACCATACTTGTTTATACATCATCCCTACTTTTTTTTCTACATAGACCACACTTTTTCTTACATCAACACCACTTTTTTCCTAGATCAACCACACTTTTTTCTACATGAACCACATTTTTTTCTACATCATCCTCACTTTTTTTTTCAACATTTACCACATTTGTTCCTACATTCTACAGTTATTTCTGCACAAGACACAGTTTTTCTTACATTATCCCAAATATTTTCTACATCATCCCCAGCTTTTTCAACATCATCCCCACTTATTTCTACATCAACCACACTATTTTCTGCATCATCGCCACTATTTTCAACATCACTCCCAGTATTGCCAAAATCACTAGCACTATTTTTTACATCATCACCACTTTTTTTTAGATCATCCACACTATTTTCCACATCATCACCACTGTTTTCCACATCATCACCACTATTTTCAACATCATCCCCACTTTTTTCAACATCAACAACACTTGTTTATACATTATCCAAACTTTTTCTACATCATCCCAACTTTTTTTAACTTACATTTTCTCGCTTTTTTTTGCATAAGCCAAACTTTTTCTACATCATCCCCACTATTTTGTACATCAACCACACTTTTTTCTACATCATCAACACTATTTTCTTCATTATCCCCACTATTTTCTACATCATCCCCACTATTTTCTACATCATCCCCACTATTTTCTACATCATCCCCACTATTTTCTACATCATCCCCACTATTTTCTACATCACCCCCACTATTTTCTACATCATCCCCACTATTTTCTACATCATCCCCACTATTTTCTACATCATCCCCACTATTTTCTACATCATCCCCACTATTTTCTACACCCGCCCCACTATTTTCTACATCATCCCCACATATTAAAGCTTGTTCATTTGTTTTGCTTTCAAAGAAAAAATTACCCGCCCATCTTCAATAGAAGTGGAGATATTTTGGATTGAAGGAGGTGGGGGTCACCTGGTTTATGAGGTAAAATTAGCGAGAAAATGGCCGCCAAACTTGGTAAATTCCAAAGCTGGAGAGTCCATGGAAACTGTAAATTTTATATTTTTGTGCCTTTAATTAACGTTTTCTGTGAAATTCTCAAAGAATGTGTTTGTAAATTGACATAAAAGGTGTTGAGCCAAAAAACAAAAATTTGATAAAAATTGCTAAGCAGGGAGAAAACTGCTGTTTTCTTCGATTTCATTATTTTGACGAGAGCCTGATTCCACCACGCTGCCTCACATTTTGCTTCTACATCATCCATACTTTTTTTCAACATTTACCACGTTTGTTCCTACACTCTACAGTTATTTCTACATAAGCCACAGTTTTTCTTACATTATCCCAAGTATTTTCTACATCAACTACATTTTTTCTACATCAAACCACACTTTTTTTTACATCATACCCACTTTTTTCTACATCATCCCCACTTTTTTTCTACATCATTCACACATTTTTCTACATCATCCCCAGCTTTTTCAACATCATCCCCACTTATTTCTACATCAACCACACTATTTCCAACATCACTCCCAGTATTGCCAAAATCACTAGCACTATTTTTTACATCATCCCCACTTTGTTTTAGATCATCCAAACTATTTTCCACATCATCACCACTGTTTTCCACATCATCCCCACTATTTTCCACATCATACTCACTTTTTTTACATCATCCCAACTATTTTCTACATCACCCCCACTATTTTCTACATATTAATCCACACTTTTTCTTACATTACCCCAATTATTTTCTACTTTAACCACACTTTTTTTTATACCATATCTCCCCTTTTTTTTATACATTATCCCCACTATTTTCTCACTGTACATCTCCCCAAATTTTTTCTACATCAGCCAAACTTTTTTTTCTGCATAGTCCCCACTTTTCATTTACATCATCCCCACTTTGTTCTAGATCATCCCACATTATTTTCCACATCATCCCCACTATTTTCTACATCTACCACAGTTTTTACTACATCATCCCAACTTTTTCCCCACATCAACCACACTTATTTCAACATCATCCACTATATTTTCTACATAATCCCTAGGTTTTTTTTTACATCATTCGCACTAATTTCTACATGATCCCCCTTTTTCTACATAAACCAAACTTGTTCTTTCATCATCCTCACTATTTTCAACATCACCGCCAGTATATCCAAAATCGCTTACACTATTTTCTACATTATTCCCACTATTTTCTAACTGTGCATCACCCCTACTTTTTTCTACATCATCCCCACTATTTTCTACATCATCCCCACTATTTTCTACATAATCCCCACTATTTATTTACATCATTCCCATTTCTTTCTAGATCATCCACACTAATTTCTACATCAACCACACTTGTTTATACATCATCCTTACTTTTTTTTATATATATATCAGACAAACTTTTTTCTTAATCATCAACACTTTTTCTACATAAGCCACACTTATTTCTACATCATCCCCACTATTTTTTACATAAAATAATAATGGATTGCATTTATATAGCGCATATCCACTTATGCAATGCTCTATGCGCTTAACGTGATACATATAATGGATTTACAAATCAATTTTAAAGGTACATAGTGTTACATACTCATGCAAACACATATTCACTCATGCACGCACCACACACACATACATACTCACATGCACACATACG